CGGCGGGGATCTTCCTAACGCTCATTCCGAATCACGACTGATGGCCAGCAGAAAGGTCACTGGAATGAGCCTAATGCTCCTCCCTTGCAGCGCTATGATTATCTTGATAGTAAACAGTTGCCAAGAAAGCCATCCTTAAGCGTGCAAGTCTCCCCAGATGCGGGAAAACCGTTCTGCTGTCATGATTAACAGCTTCCTAGAAGCACTGCAGCTAATGCTCAAGCCACTGCAAATTGCTTTCGCCTCCCTCCTTCCCCACAACTCCGTCCACCTCACAAGAAAGCCTCATCTATGAACACTGGCCAGTAATAGATGAAGGTGCTTCTTGTATCATCATCCATTCCAGAGTAGTGGCAATGGGGTAGTAAACTGGAGGGACCTTCCGAAGACAGCTAGACCCTCAGGAACAGCAGCTCTGGCCATGAAACATGGCTTTCCTCATCACAAACCTGCTGAGACCGAAGAAAAACCTACAGCGTGACCTCAGATCTTGACACTGCTCTGCGTAAACCTTCCACTGGTGTTACTGGCATGGCAAGTGAAGCCCAGGCTTACCACCACGGATCTGGAAGCCCTACAGCCCCGGGTCTTCCTCGCCAGCCCATTTAACATTCAAGTCTTCACTTAGTTGGACCCTAACACTGTATCAAACAACCTCCACTCTCCCTACAAGCTGGCCCTGTCTTCTCACAGAGCTTTTACTCCTGCCACTCACCAGTCTCCCAGCTCCTCATTTCCTTATCTTTCAAGCTTGAGCTCAGAAAGGCTTTCTCTGGCTCTCTCTCCAAAATGCTCCCTCCTCCCGTTCTGCTGTCACCATCCTGTTAAAACTTTTGCATCACTAACGATCTACAACTAAGAATCTACAACCATATTATCAAACTATTTTTCACTTGTTTACTGTCATGCCCTTACCCAAGCCTGGAGTGCAGGCTCTGTGAGAGGAAAGACCTTTTCCGTGTTGCTGCCCACCACTGGTAGCAGTGTCTGGCACAGAGTAGGACTTCAGTAAACACTTCAGAGATGAATGAACATGTTCTAAACTGCAACCTGCCCCTGCCGCTATCTAGCTGTATAATTTGAGGTGAGCCACTGCACCTGCACAAACTTCGGTATCGTCATCTGTGAAGTTCTGCTAGGATACAGGCTCATTTACATAGAGTTTTTGAGTTTCCTCAAAAAGTGAATAGAGCTTACTCTACAATCCAGCAATTGCACTACTAGTAATGCATCCAAAGGATGCAAAAATACTGATTCAAAGGGGCACACGCATCCTGATGTTTAAAGCAACATTATCAACAATAGCCAAAGTACGGGAAAAGCTTGAATATCCATTACAGCACGTGAGCGCGTGTGTGCGTGCGCGCGCATGCATGCACATGCGCACACACACACACACACACACACACACACACACAGATAGGATTACTCAGCCACTAAAAAGAATAAAATGTTGCCATTTGCAACGATGTGGAAGCAGCTTATCCTAAGCAAAATAAGTCAGAAAAGACAAACCATATGATTTCACTCATATGCGGAATTTAATAAACAAAACAGATGAACATATGGTAAGGGGGGGGATAAAAAGAGAAGGAAGGAAGAAACCATAAGAGACCCTTAACTGTAGAGAACAAACTGAAGGTTGATGGAGGAAGGGTGGGTGGGGGTTACTCTAGCTGGGTGATCGATATTACGGTGGGCACTTATGATGAGCACTGGGTGTTACAGGCAAGTGATGAGTCACTAAATTCTATGCCTGAGACCAGTATTACACTATATGTTACCTAGAATTTAAACAAAAATTTGAAAAAAATAGTTTTTTCTTAAAGGAGACTTTAAAAGTTTAGAGACTAAAAATGAAGCACACAACTGGGCAACAAAATCACCATTTATTGAACAATTCTTATGTATTAGCATGGAGCTATATTAATTAAGGCATACATTATATATATTTATACTTAATCTTCCAACATAAGTATTATTGTTCATATTCTGTAGAAGAAAATTTAGGCTGCTTATTTCACTCCTTAAAATGCTTCCTCAGTTGTCACCTTTTTAATGAGGCTTTCTATGGTCAACCTATATAAAATTACAAATCCACTCTCTGTCCTGAATTCCTTATTTATCTGCCCTGCCTTAAATTCTGCATGACAATGTATCCCACTTATTTTTTTATCTCCCCTTATGAAAATACAAGTTCTACAAGGCAGAGATTTTTTTTTTTCCTCTGTTCTCTTCTGAAACCCCAGCACCCAGTAGAGGACCTGATACAAAGTAGGTAAAAGTATTTTAAAAATGAGTAATGAATTAATGAATGTACAGCTGAGTGCACAGATGATTTCTGAGGTAGTTCTGAAAGTCTGTACAGTTCAAAACCTTTCCACGTGTTGCTCCAGAGTTACTGAGTACACACACGTGTTTGTGTTTGTATATATTATATATATGTATACATATATACATATGTACATAATATACATGTATACATAATATACATTATATATGTATACATACATATATATGTACATATATATAATATATTGCATAAAAGTTGATCAGTAAAGAAATGAAATTAGTAAGACTGGTGACAAGGAACTAGGAAATGAAGGTGAGACAGAACATCTGTCTAGAAAAAGACAATGCCATTCCTTAAGATGCACAAAGTGCGATTATTATTTTTTTTACTTATTACAGAATATGATGATACAGGGTCTCACTGGGTTGGAACGTGGGAGGACAGACAACTAAAGCTGAACTGCATGATGAGCTGAGTCTGGTATGTTCCCCCCAAGAAGGTCTCTTGAGTTCTAAAGCTATTTGGGCAAGGAGGCTAAAAGCAAAGACTTCAGCAGCCCCAAAAGTACTGAGGAAACAGAATTGGCGTTCAGATCCCACCAAGAAGAGGGGACCAGTATACATTCCTGATTCATGTGGAACACCTGAGAGGCTAGGTCTTAGGAGCAAAGGCAAACCAGAAAGAGTCTAAACCTTACCAGAACTGTACCTCTGTCTCATCTCAGAGATAATCACCCATCCCCACCCCTCCACCCCCATCTCTCTCTCCCTTTCTCTCTCTCTCTCTCTCTCTCTCACACACACACACACACACACACACACACACAGTCTCCTTATCAGAAAAAAGAATAAGTCCCTGGACAAAGATAACATCACCTGAAGCCTTTGTAAGTTGCCCTACATAAGGTCGGGCAGTCAATTACATTATGGTATGAAGAAAGAGACAACCAAATAACAAAAGAAAGTACTGAATAATAGAAACACATATAAAGTTGATCCAGATACTGAAATTAACCGCTTAACATCCTTCTAAGCTGTGACTAATATGTTCAAGAAATACAGGAAAAGATGGCAAATACAGATTTTTTAAATTATAAATTCCACCAAAGAACATAACCTAAAAAGGAATAAACAGAAATTCTAGAACAGAACAGTATAACAAAAATTAAAATTAAGAACTAAATAGATGGGCTTTAACAACAGATTAGGCACAGGAAATTTACTAAACTGCAAGACAGATAAATAGAAAACATCCAATATCTAAGAGTTTAGTGTATATGAAAGAACAGTTTTAGGGGACAGCATCACTGATTTTTACAAATGATAAAAATAATAGGACATACTAGTAGGCACCTGCAACTCTTCTAGGCTCAGTGTATTTAATCCCTATAAAACCAATGAGGTAGGTAGTATCCTATTAAGATCTCCCTTTAATAGACAACAAAACTGAAACAGTTTAGATAATTCTGCAAGTGAGTGAATGGATAAGGCAGAATCTGAACTCGGGCAGTTTGACCCCAAAGTCCATGTAATCACTAAACTGCACTGCAGTGGTTAATAACAACTGAACTTTGGTGACGTTTTTATATTTGTTACTATCCTCTTAAATCCCTCCTAGCATAGTTAGATGGAATTAGTAATCAGTGACTGCTCTAATGATGACTTGTAAATAACTTAAAATTAACTATAAGTTATGACTTGTAAATAATTTAAAATTAATCATAAATTATGCCATGATGCTTTTATATGGCCCATTTGGAGAAAAGCTTGGTCAGCTGGTCCCATAGGTACAGCCAGGTAGTGACTCCAAATGCAGGCTAGCACAGGAGAAAAGAAATCTACAGTCTCAGCCTTGAAAATTCAAACCTATAAAATGACAGCCCATATAATATAAAAATTATGGAAGAGAAATATTCAACACAAATAAAGAAGTGGCAGAAATACCTAAAGAGATAACTTCTTACAAAACCTACATGGGACACCGAGAACTCCTCTCGAAGAGTGCATGTGACAGCAGAGTTTAAGCTGGACTTAGCTCATCGACCCATTTGGGACTATAGTATAAATCCTGAAACTATTCTAACGAGAACACCTTTCCTTTCTCATCATTGGTTGAGAAAGCCAACAAGAAGCCTTCTCTGACCTTCAAATGCCCTGCTTTCTGATTATCCAGAGGAGGAACTATAAAACTAGTGAGTAGTGAGAAAAAAACTAAAAATGCTGGGGGAAACTGTTACCGTCACCTCCTGGCATTCTGCCATTAGAAATAAAGCTCTCTCTACAAAATTTTCTAAGTTCAAGAAAAAATACCGCTTATAATGCACTTTTCTGTCTTTAGACATCTGGACCAAGATTTTGTAAGGTCTGTGTTTGTGGTCTTGATTTTTAGGAAACATTTTAAAAGTACTGATAATGTCTGCAGGGCTAACACATTCTGGAAAATGTTACTCTGTGTACCACCTGCAAGATGGGCAAAGCCATCAAAACTGGGGTTTTGGCTTCTGAACGTGGCACCCCATGTTCTTTCCAGGCATATCTAACCATCACCTTTCATAACAGTGAGAACCTGCCACATTTCAGGAAACATCTAAGACTAAATTCTGGAAACTTCTGGTCACAGCACAAACTTAGTTTCTTTGATGAGAACTTAGAGAAAGTTCTTCAAACAACAGAAAACTGGTAACATTTAAAAAAAAAATAATACTTACCTTTGAATATTTCTGTAATTCAGCATCATCTGCAATCTGTGTATCCAAAGTAGCAACCTAGTATTACAAGGAAAAAAAAAAACACTCCAATATTTGTAAAAGCGTAACTTCATTTCTTCTTAGGTTTTCTGAAAAAAGATCTGTAAACCCTATATATTGATAACACCATCTGATCTGCATTCTCATCTTTTTCTGATATTTCTGAAATCAGGAAGTACAACACATAATGCAAAACGTCAAATTCTTTTTGTTGTTACCGTTTTCTAGAGCAATCTTTTCCCCCTAAATTACTTGGTTGAACCAGAAGGGAATGGGCAAAACACATACGCTATTTTTAAAAATCCATGACCCTTAAAGTTTTAATATAATCCTGTTATAAGAAGTCCATAAAAATTTTATTCTTTTATCAAAGCCAAGAGCATAATCATTTTCACTTTTAAATTCAGGCCTTAAAATGAAGTTTGCGAGGTCAGTAAAGTGAGATGAGTTTGGAAAAACTGAGGCATCTGACTTTCCACAGCAAACTCCATCATTTCCCTGGGAGACATAGCTGGCAAGGACACAAACAGAAAGACCTGGCCTGGTGATCAGCTCATGGAATATACTTAAAGCTCTTAATCCTGGCCTAAAACTATTGTTCTAAGCCTCAGTGGTAGAGATCTACAGAAGTGAATTCCTAGCAAGCAAAATACTTCACTGATGATGTGCATCTGTAAGCTGTTAATAAAGTAGGGTGTATCTGGAGGGAGGGGATAAGTTAAGCAATGATCCAACTAAAGCTTCTAGAAGTACTGCATTTCACATAAGTAGATTCTAGAAGAAAAATGAAATCAGAAACATCAGTACACAAGGGTATGCATGCATTTATTTATCTTGCCTGGTTTCTCCTTTCTGCTCCTCATCCCTCAAGACAGCAAGAACCCTTGATGAATAAGTTGTCTCTTTAAATTCCCAACCTCAAATTCTGTCTCTTCTTTCTCACCATTATGTTATGCTCTCACTATGTGATAAATGAAATTTGGAGGAGTAGTGATGAGGATAAAATTTTAACTAAAAAGTGCTCATCACAAAACTGTCCCATGGATATATACTGGGACACCAAATTGCTTTATATATCAAACCACTATGAATAGTAGAAAAAGTTATTTGCTAAGGTGATAGATAGCCTAATGACAAAACAGCATTTAAAATCTATGAGGTAAAGAAGCAGCAGTTCATGAGGACCAAAAGCAAGTACGAAATTAGCAAGAATAGAATATGGAATGTTTTAACGCATCTTAATGATGCTGGAAATTTCCTGACAATACATAGTGGTTGCATGTTCTGAACCAAGAAAAGGGGAAAAAAAAAATCTCCAACCAGCCAACAAGCACTAATGATAAACATATGGGAGACAACATGAATGACAATAGAAATTTAATAGAATATTTTATTACTAATGCATTTAGTGAACATTGTAGACGCTTTTCCAAGCACAGCTTTCTGCTTTCACATGGATTCATAGGGGGGAGCATAATCAATCTCTTACTCGATGAATCTAATAACAGGTGAAAGGAAGTCTAATGGACCACTGGTGCTATAAACTTATACCTAACCTAAATTACTTCCTGTTCTCCCTAATACATTTGATAATCATTCTTTCATTTTTCTCATAAAACTGTAAGATTCTTTGTGAAACATAGGACTAATATCCACAGCCCTTTCAGTGTACAATAAAACAAACAGATCATAAAAGCAATCATAAAAATGCCAGCAATTTTAAGCAGCTGATACAGGTTACAAATTTAAAGGCAAGTCTTCTAAAATTCTTCTGCCTACTGTTGACTTAAATGTTTTCAACATGAACCGAGTGTCTGCTAATTATAACTGAAACTTGTGTGCAGTCCTTAATTGTTCTTACAGCTTAAAATGTTTAAAGAGGGGGGAAAAAAAAATCAATTGATCCCCTAGGGAAGAAAGGCAGGAGGGAAAATAAAGGCAAACTGGCTAATCTTGGGCTCTCCCATTTCTTTAAACTGCAATGTTAGGAGCTTGACATGCAATGAGACATGAATGTTTTTTATTACAATATTTTAACATACCATTACTTCATAATCCGGGCCCAACAGGTTTTCCCATCTAGATTTCAGCTCATTTTCTGGAGAGTCTGGGACCTTTTCTGGAGTTTAGAGAAAAAAAAAATGAAGCTACTATGAGCCAAACTTAACTACTAAATTCCTCAATAATAGCACAGTTCCAGTAAGTAAAAAGGAAATGAATATAAAGGAAAATGCATTAACTTGGGTCTACCAGGTAAAGTAAATCAGAGGTGACTTATAAGACTAACGTAAAATGTTAAGGCTAGTTGTGACCAAATTATGAAGGGGCTTTCGTTAAGGACGATTTCAAAGGGAAGACGAACTGATGAGTTAGAAATGAAATTTGAAATATACCCACTTTATATGTAAACAATCCTGAAGTTTACAAGTAAAATACATCTGGCTTTGCTTTACAATATGTTAAGACAAACAAGGATTTAATTTAAATGTTAATCACTTCAAAGTAATACCTTCCACTCACCCACAGAAAAAGTAAAAACTTATCAAGACATCTTTACTATCAACTGGGCATAGGAACACAATCCAATCAGACTTCTCATCTGGATAGATATAAAACCATGTCTGGTTTAATTCAACCAGGGAGATACAAGAGCTTTAACATACCAGAAACTCTGTGTACTTTGGTCTCATGTAGTTACTTAGTTATACCTTCGTGACTCTTGAGTATAATATTGCTTTTGCATACGTAAGATAACATTGCAGAACTAAGACAGATTTTAAGTGCTCTGCCTATCCTCCTTTATGGTCTTAGCCAGAAGCTCAGGATACAGTTGCTAGTCTGAATAACGCCTAATAGGCAAAAGTTGAAGTACTAAAATACAATTTCAACTTATATCCATAGCAGTAGCAGAAAATAAACAAACCTTCACCTTTTTTTCTGTAAGTTAAAGAAAAACTCTTTTAATTTTGTCACAAGATTAAACAAGTCACAGAACACTTACTCCAGCTGACATAACCATCTGTCTAAAATCAAACATAACTTGCAACATCAGCTCTTTCAGTCCGCAGCATGGACAGCTCATCTTGGATGCATATAATGCTTAATTACATAACACAAATCATCAAGTAAAGGCTAACCTCAGAATTCAGAGACTAAGACTAATAAACACCAAAGAGCTTAACTCACTAGATGTTATCCATGTGAAAACAAGGATATTCGTAAAAGAATATCCATGAAATAACTACATCAACGGACATGCTAGTTTACATGTAGGGGATAACTAACCAAAGATCTTATTAAAAGCAAAATAATCACTTATGTGGGCTCTGTACTTTTGTGCCTATCTATTGTTGTCAACAATATATAGGCACAATTTCCGGAAGAAATTACATTATGACGACGTGGATGGAACTGGAGGGTATTGTGCTGAGCAAAATAAATCAGTCAGAGAAAGACAATTATCATATGATCTCTCTGATATGATGAATTTGAGAGGCAGGGCAGGGGGTTGTGGGGGGCAGGAAGGGAAAAAAATGAAACAAGATGGGACCAGGGAAGGAGACAAACCATAAAAGACTTTTTTTTTTTTTAGATTTTATTTATTTATTTGACAGACAGAGATCACAAGTAGGCACAGAGGCAGGCAGGGAGAGGGAGAGGCATGCTTCCTGCTGAGCAGAGATCCCAATGCGGGGCTTGATCCCAGGACCCTGAGACCATGACCTGAGCCGAAGGCAGAGGCTTAACCCACTGAGCCACCCAGGTGCCCCCATAAGAGACTCTTAATCTCAGGAAACAAACTAAGGACTGCTGGGGGACTGTGGAGGGGGGATAGGGTGGCTAGGTGATGGACATTGGGGAGGGTATGTGTTATGGTAAGTGCTGTGAATTGTGTAAGACTGATGATTCACAGACCTGTACCCTCAAAGCAAATAATACATTAAATGTTAATTTAAAAAAAGAGAAAAATTACGTTATGAGTTCGACCATCTTTGTTAAATTTCTCCCGTGCAGCAGTTTCTTATCCGGTAAGCTAATTTGCAATTAGCAATCCGGTAAGCTAATTTGGTTGAATTGTAAGCTTAAAAACATGATATTTAAAGATGACATTTCATACACGTGTATAAAACAATGGTATCTCACCTACAGTTCACTTAACTACTTCATCTTTCATTTGTACAATGGAAGTACAGATAGTCACGAGTTTTAAAGCATAGCGCAAAGTTAAGTACCAGAAGAGAAAGACTATTTTCATAGCCCAATAAATCCTGAGCTACGCAAAGTGACTTAAAAATGAATAGTATGATGATCCAAAACAATTATTCAAATGGCAATGAAGGGGAGCAGAATATGCCACCCCAAAATATGCCATATTAGCATGTAGAATTTTTTTTTTAAAGATTTTATTTATTTGACACAGAGAGAAAGATCACAAGTAGGCAGAGAGGCAAGCAGAGAGAGAGGGAGAAGCAGGCTCCCCACTGAGCAGAGAGCCCGATGTGGGGCTCGATCCCAGGACCCTGAGATCATGACCTGAGCTGAAGGCAGAGGCTTTAACCCACTGAGCCACCCAGGCGCCCCAGCATGTAGAATATTTTGAACTAAAGGCAATCAAGACCAAGCAGACTCAGGAAAAACTTTTACCTCTCCCTTAACTATCCAGAAGAATTTAGATAGGAGGCCTATACCAGAAAGAACAATTACCAGAGAGAACTTTTTTATCTGAAAGACCTATTGGCATGGCAGAGCAAACTTTTAATTACCAAACATTTGCTTTTCTTACCATGCTATGAATTACCCTCCTCATCTTTGAAGCCCCAGGCCTCCATCCCATTCCTTAATTTAGAATGGCATATGAGGCTCAACTGCCCAACTTACTCTTGGATCTCCTATTTTTTTTTTAATTTTAATTTTTATTTATTTGACACAGAGAGAGAGATCACAAGTAGGCAGAGAGGCAGGCAGAAAGAGAGGAAGCAGGCTCCCCACTGAGCGGAGAGCCCCATGTGGGGCTCAATCCCAGGACCCTGAGATCATGGCCAAAGGCAGAGGCTTAACCCACTGAGCCACCCAGACGCCCCTTGGGTCTCCTATTTTTATGGGGCTTCCATACTTAGGAAATTTGTTTTCTCCCATTAATCTGTTTTATATCAATTTAATTATTAGACCAGTCAAAGAACCTGGAGGGGAAGAAGGGAAACTTTTTCTGCCCCTATAGCAAAAAAGCTAATTTCTTAGCAGTTCAACGACCTTGGTCTTACTGTCAAGATGAAATTATACATATTCATAAAGAAAAAAATGCAATGAGATTGATCCAAAAAGAGCAGATAAAAGTGTCTGAAAATATTTCTAACTTCAGAATGTACTTGATTTTCACACAACAGTTCCATGAAAATCTATGTGGGTTCACTTGAATTTATTTATTTTTTTTTTTAAGATTTTTTTTTTTTTTTTTTATTTGACAGACAGATCACAAGTAGGCAGAGAGGCAGGCAGAGAGAGACAGGAGGAGGAGGCAGGCTCCCTGCTGAGCAGAGAGCCCGATGCGGGACTCGATCCCAGGACCCTGAGATCATGACCTGAGCCGAAGGCAGAGGCTTTTAACCACTGAGCCACCCAGGTGCTCTGGTTCACTTGAATTTAAAAAGCAAGGATCTAACCACAATCCACTTGGGTCAAAAAGAATAAGATAAATTTCCAAATTATAGGAAATTTTTTAACTTGAGTGAGGGGTTACTCCTCCCTTCAGGTCATCCTTTCTTGAAACAAGGCAATCAAAGCCAAAACTTCCCTGGAAGAGGATGATGTTAAGTATCCCATTTCATTTAACTATCAAGGCTTTCCAGAGCACCTCTGTGCAGAGAATTGGGTGAGACTGCTATTCCAAATGCTTCCAGAACAGAGTCAACTATGTAGCCAAGTATCAGAGTACAAAGTGAAAAGGACAAGGTTGCACATAAATTAAAAAGAAGATTAAAATATAAGTACACAGGAACCTGACAATTTGATAAAACATGTAAATATGTATGTTATAAATTATTATGGTAAAAGGAAATACTGCTATATGTATACAGATAGCTAGATATCTATAGCTATGTCAATGATAATACATGTTCACATATGCGCTAATTAAAAGTGCTGACAAGACTAAAAAATAGTTAACACATACTAATAAAAATGCATGAAAAATTAATTAAACAAAGATTAAGCAATAACATGCTTAGTCCCCAACTGCCACAAGTGTTAAGATGTTGATATTAAGAATATCCTATATTGGGGCACCTGGGTGGCTCAGTGGGTTAAAGCCTCTGCCTTTGGCTCAGGTCATGGTCCCAGAGTCCTGGGATCGAGCCCCACATCGGCCTCTCTGCTCAGTGGGGAGCCTGCTTCCTCCTCTCACTCTCTGCCTGCCTCTCAGCCTACTTGTGATCTCTGTCTGACAAATAAATAAATAAAATCTTTAAAAAATATATTAAAAAAAAGAATATCCTATATTGGGGTGCCTGGGTGGCTTAGTGGGTTAAAGCCTGTGCTTCGGTTTGGGTCATGATCTCAGAGTTCTGGGATCAAGTTCCAAGTTGGGCTCCTTGCTCAGTGGGGAACCTCCTTTTCCCTCTGCCTGCTGCTCCCTGTGCTTGTGTCAAATAAGTAAAATCTTTAAAAAAAAAGAATATCTTATTTTGGGGGCAGTCAGGTGGCTCAGTCTGTTAAGCATCTGCCTGGTCCTGGGATGAGCCCCGTGTCTGCTCCCTGCTCAGCGGAGAGTATGCTTCTTCCTTTCCCCCTGCCCCTGCGCTCGCTTGCTCTCTCTCACTCAAATAAATAAATATTAAAAAAAAAAAAAAAAGAATATCCTATTTCGTATCTTTAAAATGCTTCTAAAATTTCTCACGTTAAATTAACTATAAAGAGAGAAAACGGTTAATAGATGAGAAAGTCAAGTCACTTTGTTTGGAATTGAATGCTCTGTGCCTACCTAATTTTTCTACGCCTTGCATGTTGTCATTTTTCAGATTATCCATTCTTTCTTCAGTTTCCTCATCCCCACCATCCAGATCAGTTTCCGTTTCCACTGCTCCAGTTAGGTAGCGGGCTGGTGTTTCCGATGGCTCTACAGCAGTTCCTAAAATAAGAATTGCTAACTTGAATCACTAGCAGCTGAAGAGCGTATTTAAGTGAGGTTATTCCAGTCCTGTTCACAACCTCATTACAAACATCTTAGGTAAATTACATATATGATGCCTTTATTGAAAAGGATAAGGAACCAGGCAATGGGAAGGTAAGATCAAGGTCTAGTTGTTGACAAAGCAGAAGTAAATACTTTTCCACAAAGCCTTGGAAAAGAAAAAGAACACTGAGATCTTACGAAAAAGAACAGTGAGGTCTTACACTCTTGTGGTTATGGTCGGTAAGGAGCAAGACAGGCAAAATAAGCCCATTCCAGTGCTCTGGGCTCTCCTAGGTTTTGGCACGACATCATGATCAGTTAAAAACAAAAAATAATAGTAACTCTACATAGGTTACTTTATGAATTGGAAAGGAACTGGAGAGAATTCTCCTGTTTGCAGTGTTTCCTCCCTTAGCTAAATTGAGCTAAGTAAAGCTTTCAATCTCAAGCATGCAAGTCATTACCTATCTCTTAAACATAAGAAAGGTTGAATAAGAGTCATTTTAGGTCATTTTTATTTTTTCCAATTTTTTAAAAAAGATCTTTATTTATTTATTTGACAGAGAGAGAGGGTGACAGCGAGAGAGGGAACACAAGCAGGGAAAGCGAGAGAGGGAGAAACAGGCTCTCTGCTGAGCAGGGAGCCCGATGCAGGACTCGATCCCAGGACCCCAGGATCATGACCTGAGCTAAAGGTAGACACTTAACCAACTGAGCCACCCAGGCTCCCCATTTTAGGTCATTTAAAAATGATCACCCATGATGTACAAAGTATTCCTACCAAAAATATTTAACCTGGATCTAAGGCTTTATATCTAGCTTCTCACAGGAAATGTAGTGGATAGAGGAACAAGCTGAATTATACAAGGACAATTAAATTCAGTATGTAGTATTCTAGTGACTAATGGACAAATCCCTTTACAAAAGTCTGTGCCACAGAGGCAGGGGTGGGGAATTCTTCTAGATTAATGCAGGTAACAAGTCCAATGTGTGACTGAATCTTGGTTTTTGTGAGGTTTTTCCTTCAGAGAGGGGTAAGCAGGAAAAGAAGCTGCAAAAGACATTTGGGGGCAATGTGTTAAGTATCTGACATTAGGGAATTACTATTAATTGTTTTGGTATGATAATGATATTATTATTATAATATTTTCATTTTTAGAAACTAGAGATTTAAGTATGTAGGACTAAAGTGCCATGATGTCTACTACTCACTCTTAAATAATTAAGGAAAAAGAGAAATAGATGAAACAAATATGGCAAAACATTAACAGCTGAATCTAAATGGTGGGTTTGTATCTGTTATATTATTTTTCAATTTTTCTGTATGCTTAAAAATTTTTACAATACTGTTGACCCATGAACAATCGGGGGACTAGAGGCACTTCCCCTCCCCATGCAACTGAAAACCCACATAAAACTTCTGAATCCCCCCAAATATAACTACTAATAGGGTACTGTTGACTAGAAGCCTTACTGATTGTGTAGTAAATTAACATAATTTGTATATTATGTGTATTATATACTGTATTCTTACAATAAAGCTAGAGAAAAGAAAAAGTTATTAAGAAAATCGTAAGAAAATACATTTACAGAAAATACAGTACAGTACTGTATTTGACAAAAATCCATGTATGAGTGGACCTACACAGTTCAAAACTGTGCTATTCAAGGGTCAACTATAAAAAGCTGAAAAATATAACCGGTTAAAAGTTATGATCTTGGGACACTTGGGTGGCCCAGTCAGTTAAGTGACCAACTTTTGATTTCCACTGGAGTTGTGATCTTGGAGTCCTGGGATCAAGTTGCATGTGGGCCTCCCCACTCAACAGGGCATCTGCTTCCCTCCCTCTCTCTCTCTCTGCTCCTCCCCGACTAGGTGCTTGGGCTCCCCCACACACTCTCTCTCAAATAGATAAATCTTTAAAAATAAATAAATATTGTAAAAAAAAAAAAAAAACTTTTTAACTTCCTATGATCTTAACATGACATTTTTAACCACACCTAAAATTTCTTAGATCATTAATCCATTGACACACAGGAAAAGCACAGTCTACTTCTAGCCCAAGTAATATGCCCAGAAGCTGCTAGTGTCCCTGAGGAAAATAGTTACATACCAGAGTTTACAGTACAGAGCAGTACAGGATATAATTGTATGCTACAAGTAGTATACAAACTGGTACACAAATAAGATATACAAGACATACGAACAGTAGGAGTGTAGAGGAGAAAAAGACTTTAGAATGGTAGAGGAAAGTATTGTGCAAGAGCTATAAGTGCGGTTTGCTTCCGTAAAACAGACAAATGCTGGCTCTGGAAGACAGGCAAAAATGTTGTTATGTGGGGCAGGGAACCCAGGCATCACCATTCACCTACATTACAGTGGCTGCACATAAAGCAGGTGATTGCTACAAGGTGTGATAAATGCTACAGTAGAACACTCTTCCAAGGGTGCTAGTAAAGCCCACAGGAAGGACCTCTCAACCACAGAAGGAAGACATGCAAATTTAGAGTAAAAATTTATCCCAACATAAATTTAAAATGGAGGCATGCGCAGGAAAGAATTGCTAATTCGTAGATGACATATTTTATTTGATATAGTAGACTGAAGCCAAGGGCTCTATCAGAGCTATTAAAAACCATTATGTTGATATAAATATTTATGTAAACCTTTTAAGGTCAATATAGCATTTGTACAATTTGTACTATTTAGGCAATTTTTAATTTCATATATACGACGCAGTTGACAGGGCATCTGTCTTTCAGCAGCAAAATTTCCACTATCACATAAAACTTAAAAAGTTCCAATTTAAATATAAATCAATACAGGTTGAAAGAAAGGCTTCCAGGCTTATTATATCTTCAAAAAAGACGGGGGGGGGGAATGTATTCCTCTTCTGACAAATTCTAATGGAATGATTTCTTACTCACTAGTTCTATAACTAGTCATTCATTTTAAACTGAATTTGTTTTAGGACTGCCAAGTTTTTTTGATCTACACATTATTAATAACTTGGTAATTAAAAAAACTGGCATGCATACAATTATATATTTGTTCTATAATGAAAATTTGCTATTCCTTAATCAAAATAACAAATGTTTCACAAATAAAAATGTCCTTATCAGAAACCCAGGTTTTATTTTCCCCCTCTGTATTTCAAAGAATAAATCAGGAGACATTAGAATCAAATATATTGTTAGAAGTCATTTGAAATCTGAAGTGTACAAAATGTCAAAGCATTAGACAAACGAGAGTCCCTAGAACAAAAGGTGCCAAAGCTTTATTATTCAAATATAATAAATGAAATTTAGAAGCTTTTTGGAAAAATGATTTCCGTCTCCATTTGGAACAGCTTGCAGAGCTTAATGCATGTCAGGGTTCGTGTTCTAACATTTGGATAGGCACCTCATAATAAGCAAAGGAAAACTCTTCTTCAGTGCACAAATGAGCTGATTCATTTCAACATCACTGCATTACAAAAGATGGGAAGTTATTCCTTCCCAGACTCATGGGACAACTTCCATAAGTAAGCTATCCTCCAAGCCCAGACTTGGTGGTGGGAAGAGGGACAGTGGCATAAGCTACCTGGGTCTGAAGGCCATTCAAGTGGAGAAGCAGATGAAGACGCCTCCCTTCGAACCCTTCGAACCAGGGTTAGATGTACCACTTGGCCTGCATTCCGTAATACTTCAACAACATCCTGGTTGGCAAAACCCTGAATATCCACACCATCCACCTAAAACATTAAGAGACACATTACACAGAGGTTTCAAGTTAGCCGCTGTTTTCAATTCTGGCGAGGCAGAATAAAATCAGGCCTCTATCCCCTGCAAAATCCCAAGGTATTTCCTAAGCCAAGAGTGATGAAAGATGCCTCCTTAGATGGATCTGAAGGACAAAGATTCAAATGACAGCAATAAACATTTGTTTCTATGTAAACCACGAAATTAAATGTATGTGTCTATGTAGATGTGTGTGCTTATGCTTCAAAAATATTATTCAAATAAACTTCAAAATTTAACAAATTTCTACTAAATGGAGAAAGACCAGCCTGAATGGACAACGGGTAATTACAACATTCTCAAACATATAAAATACCTCAAATCTGTATGTACTTAAAACTATTTACTGTTAGTAGAAAAATTACTTTCATGAAGAGATGAAAAGAGCTGGTTAATAGCCTACTAGAATGCATATAAAATGAGTGAGTATACAGAACACAGAGGTGCCTGAAAGTCTTTTTTAGGAGACTGCTAGAACACCTTTCAGGGGTGTGTGTGTGTGTGTGTGTGTGTGTGTGTGTGTGTGTG